CTAATACTTATTACTTCATGTAAGGTTCACTTTTCACATAAAATATGTATATATATATTAATTATTAACTCATGTTCCCACTAGGTAGTACATAGAATTCCTACCTATGTTATAATTAATTATAATTCTACCCCTTTGTACTAGTGCCATGAATCTTTTAAAGTATTCACAAATGCTCGCCTATGATAAACACAAAATAATTTTCCTATTTAAATTAATCCCAGTCTACACAAATTAAATTCGAATTTTAAATCATGTTTCACATCCTTAATTATAATTTACACAAGTTCCTAATTATGTGGGATGTTACAGTGCGAGTGAGGACAAAACACACTGAAAAGTCTCGTGTTAGTGTGTGGGGATAGTCATTGATTCTTGCAAGTGGCCGGGAGTTACAAGACCCATATCCGGATATCAATATCCGGATATCATATCTGGATATTTTGCGACAGAATGCAGTTCTGCATTTTGCGAGATATCCCTCCCAAAGGTGGTTCATTTCACGATTTCAGAAGCTTAAACATGCATTTCTAGGTGTGTTTAACTTTACCCAACCTTTAGTTATCAACTTTAATCCATTATATGCATCAAGGCTTCATTTTTAACTAAGAAAACTCTTGTTCAAGGTTGATGACACTTACCCAAGCTCAAAATAGAGTAACAATGGCTCTTGGAGCTCACCACACTGCCTCTACAGTTCTGACTTCACAAAGGCACGAAAATACCAAGCAAGCAAGGTCTTTTCTTCACAAAGATTGTGTTGCAACTTTAGCAAGTGTACTAGTCATACAAGTAATAAAATGTTGAGTAAAGATCGTTCCCACGAGGATTTGTGTTCAAACACTGACTAACCACATATAATTAAGTTGAATCAACCAAAAAATTATTGATTGCATTGATTATTGTCACCAGAAATTGAATTGTATTAAAATTTGATAAAACAAATAAACTGGGAATTATAATTTTAAAAATAAGTAGTCAGACATCAATATCCCTCAACCATGAACTTATGTAAGAATCAATCCTATTATGAATTATCTCACATGTGATGTTAATCAACCTTTTTCTTATCACCAAGATGTAATCCCTTACTATCCTGATTGATACATTAATCAGAAACCCCAATCCCTTGGTGATTCCCTTCTTAATACATGCATTAAATACTAAGATCTTAAAGATTACATCAGAATCCTAGTATCAATCCCTTGAATACTAAAACACTGATGATGAAATTGTCAGTTACAGGAATAATGTAAACATCCCTGTTCTACACTACTCCCTTGATGGAAAGAATTGGTACAGACAACTTCATATCATCACACAAAAGATAAACATAATATTCAAATCAACCATACATAAATTCATCCTTGAGTTCCATTGACATCAGACTACAAAGGACTCTACTCAGACATAATAAAAGAAATAACAAGAGAAGAGGAAAGATCAAACTTCATTGTCATGATGGTTGAGTCTTCAATCTTCAAGTACAACTACATAAAATGTACTAACTATTACAAGAACTAAATCCTAAAGAATTTGGAAAGTCAGAGAAAGTGAAGAGTCAGATCAGAGGATCTGAGATAGGATAGGATGGAATATTTCCAAATGTGAAGGCCCTTGCCTTTTATAGAGTTACAAAATACAACTGAATAACAACCAGAAACTGACATGGGCGCTAAAACGTTCATTGTTGGACGTTTTAGCGTTCATGTTTGACGGATGTCCAACTACTTTTAACTGTCTTTAACGCTAAAACGTTTGACTTGGACGTTCTAGCGTTCCAGACCAAAGTCTTTTCCAATAGCAGAGCGCTAAAACGTTTGATCAGGAAGTTTTAGCGCTCAAGACCAGAATCTTTTCCCACAGTAGAGAGCTAAAACCCTTGCATTGGATGTTTTATCGCTCGGCACCAGCAATTTAAGGCCTCAATATGCTGCAGCACGCTAAAACGTTCTGTTTGGACGTTTTAGCACTCAACACTTAGCATTTCCCATTCTTCATAATCTTCTTCCTTCTCTCATTTGCTTCTTTGAGCTTCATTTCCCTACAAGAACAATGTAAATTCTCAACAAAGCTTTCAGAACTTGTATTTGAGAGCTTTCCAGGACATTAACCTTTTTTCCATCCATTTCATCACACAAATTGCTGTCCTCAGTAATGAATTAAAAACAGAGAAGGACTTGAAATTCTTTATAGATGAAACTTATGAGGATGGACTTTAATTAACAAAAGGTCACATTTCATGATACAAGCTTATAACCATGCAATCTCTTATTTCCTATGATTTTCCCAACATCATTTGTGGCTTTTCAACAGATCAGTAGAGATGATATACAGAGACTTCCAAACAAAACACCCCCTCACTAGGAACTTCTCAAAAATTGTGAGAATTTAACTCTCTTTCACTCTAGTGTTTAAGGATACACTTATCACTCAATCTTTACTATACTCAAACTACCATAGGCTTGCCCATCTTCTCACTCTCCACAGTAACAATGATCCATAGAGTAGATCAAAAAGATCTTTGTGTGATTGGCAATGTGGCTTAGTATGTAGCTAGACTAGAGGTAGGGATTTATTTTAAAAGATGGTTCAGATTAAATGACTCAGATTCAGATAAGAGGGAAATCACAGTATTTATCAAATTCTTCCTAATTCCCCTAACTTTCTTCCTTTTCATTCCTTATACCTTCTTTGAACCTTTCTTCATCCTTTTTCTTCTTGACACTTTGTCGACACTTTGTGTCTTTAATCCTTTTTTTCTTTTTCTTCCTTCTTTTTCTTTCAGACACTTTGTGTCTTCAATACTTCTCTTTGTCTCTCCAGACACTTTGTTTCTTTACTACCCTTTTCTTTCTTTTTCTTCCTTCTTTCCTATATTTCCAACACTTTGTGTATTCATTTATTGCAAGAACACTTGACTCCCCACAGAACACTTCATCCATTATCACTTATCTGAAACTTTTAATCTGAAGGATTGGACTGAATGTAGGTTCTTGGTTTTACAGATAAAACAGGTTTAATCTCAAGGATTTCATGCAATGGAACATTAAGGTTGGCCATTTAAACTCTCTGGTTCAAGAAGGAAATGCCTCAATCATTTCTACCCTACATATCATCAACCATGTCAAGCAAGAAACAAGGCAATTTCTAGAGTTACTCATGCAGTGAAGTGCTCTCTGAACAAAATTTTCTGTATAGGCTCAATTTCTCACAGTTTAGAGTGCATGCTTGACTTTCTCTATATGTATCAAAACTAATCTCTCTACTCTTACACATTGAATGAGTCATGCAATCATTTCATTTTACTCAACAAGCAAGGTATAAGATTGTATCCTTAATTTGATCAATCATCTAAAACTCTGATCAGTCAAATTCTCATGGAATTCCATATCAAAATTGAAATCCAAATTCTGTATTACCACTAAAATCTAAATTACACTAAAATCTAAATCACACAGAAAACTTAGAAAAGAAAAGAGATTGAGATGTTTCCTTATTTTGGCTCATCAATTCGTGTGACATCTCCATGAAGTTTGCATGTCATTCAATCACACCCCAATTCCCATATTTAAACGTTGTTGTCCTCAGCAACTAATTTAAGTCTAAAACAGAAATTGATCACTGAAACACATTCATATATAACTCAATAGCATCAGTACTATCGCAATGTGCATCAATCAAAACAGTAAATATCTCAATGTACTAAACCAAATTACAAAAGAAAACTAATATCAAAATAAAACTAAAAGAACTACAATAAAAATATCAGAAACTAAAGCGGAGGACAGTCAAGAGTCTATGTGAGACTCCGAGTCCTCCTCATCATAGGCAAGAGGATCTGATCCTGGATCTGCAGCAGGTAGCGGTGTGTAATCAGCATCAGCAGTCTGGTCCTCAGTCTGATCCTCAGTCTGATCCTCCTCCATACCAGAAGTAGCTCCAGCAGTCTGATCAGCACCCATGGCAGCCATCATAGCCTCGTCCTCATCAGCACGCTCCTCATAAAATGTTGTGGCGGCCACTTCAAATGCATCCTCCTCATCTGAATGAGGATACTCCGCAGGCTGAAATTCCACCGGCTCTATTCCCTAGGCCTCACAAAGGGCTGTCAGCATTCAGAACATCTGGGTCTGAAATGATTTCTGGCTCGTCTGCATGAACTTGAGACGGCGGCATAAGAACCCCAGACGAACCTCAGTGTTGACCAGCCACTGCTCTGCTGATCGCTTCTTACTGACAGACTCATATTCAGCCTCTGTCATATTCTTTCTGCCCGGTGTCAGACCTGTGGTTGCTCCTCCTCCTATCCGAAGTTGGCCCCTGTTTAGCTTGGCATCAATTTCAGGGTGCAACTTAACCTGCGCCCCATTATCAGTAATGTCAACTCCAGCTCGCTGACATAGATGCTGGATCAAAGAACTGTGACCCAGTGCGGCAAAACTGCTATCAGAATGAGCCATATCATAAATACTATCCTGCAGAATGATGGGAAGCTCCACTTTTTTCCCTGTCATGATAGTGTGGATCAGCACAGCTCTCATCATAATCCCTTCCGCCTGGTTGGAGGAAGGCATGACATTGGAGACCACAAAATGGAACCACACCCGAGCCTGGCCATTCAGCTACCTTAACCACAGCAACTTGGGATTTATCTCATCCCTTATCATCTTCCATTTTTCATTTGGCTTGGCAATGGTTTGCAAAACAGGCTCAGCTGCTCCTATTTTGGTCCAAGTCTCAAAATCAGGACTACTTCTCCTTGGGGGAATGTCAATGCTTTCCCAAGTTTTCTTGAACTGACAATTCCGGTTATGAATGTAATCACAGTGAGTGATTTTCAGGAGTTTCTGTATGGTATGTGCATCATACTTCACCTTCTTCCCCCTCACCCTACTGACAAAGTGCCTCTTTTCACCTTCATCCCCATTGTAGGCATTGGCATAGAATTCCCGACAAATAGCCTGGCTGTTATTGTCCAGCATACTGCCAAAGGTCTCTCATTCCCTCTTAATCAGCTGGGATTGGAATTCTGGGTACTCATCCTTGTCCAGTACAAATTTCCTCTCCCGAACAAAGGGCCTGGATGATGTCTTGTCATTAAACCGCGTCTCATGAGCAGCACTCCTCCATAATCTTTCATCAAAGGTAGGTGGAGGTGTAGGCTCAGTTGCCTTAATCACCTGGGACCTCTTTTTGCCGGTTTTCTTTGGTAGTGGTGAAGACATAGTCCTGAAACATTAAAGAAAAAGTCAGTTCAAGAAAGCTAAGCTTTGGAGAGATAGAGGATAACAATTCCCAGATTTAATTCTGAAAGAAGTAGTGGAATTGGATCCAAAAATATGAAAGTAAACACCCCCCCCATAATGCCAGACTAGCAGCCTAAATCATGCATGCATCAGGGCCTGGGCGCTAAAATGTTCACAGGGAGCATTTTAGCGTCCTGGCAATTTAGGTAGTACAAAACAGTCGAACGCTAAAACGTTGAGTTTCCAGCGTTTAGCGTCCTGGCTTTTCTGGGTCAGGCATTTTTTCAAACACCTTGTGTGTGTGTAAAATTTTAGCTTGGGTAATCGAATATGGAAAACCCTTTGCACCCCAAAAATTTAACCAAACCAGAATTGCACGAACACCATGCAAATATTATTAGGAATGAAAACATAAATTCATGATGCAACACATAACCTAGAATCAAAAACGTGTAAAACCTATGATTCTAAGGAAATGACAATAGCAATTGAAAACCTAGGATACAATGAGTAAGGGAGAAAGAGAGTATGGCATACCTTGGTGATGATGATGTAATAGGAACGCAGAAGAGAGGAAGAGAGAGTTGGAACTTGATTATGAGTGAATGAGTTTATGTGTGAGTGAGGGAAAAGTGAGAGTGAGTGTGAGGGAATAAGGGGATATAACCGTAGGATTCAAATAAGTGACGCGGCGCTAAAATGTTGAAACCAAACGTTTCAGCGCTGTGGTCCAAAAAAATTGTGCACATAATTATGTGCATCAGCGCGCTAAAACGGTCAACCAGGAAGTTTTAGCGCGCTGAACTAGAGTGCTTGCATTGTGATGCGTTAGGGGGACGCTAAAATGGTCAAGCAGAACGTTTTAGCTCTCTGGGCCAGAGTTTTGCATTGTGATGCATCTCTAGACCGCTAAAACGTCCAAAATGGAAAGTTTTACCGCCCAACACTTGTCAAATAATTTTTCAAATTTTCTAATTTTTTTTTTATAGTATTGTTAACATTAGTTATCATATACTTGAGATAGTGGGTTGCCTCCCACTCAGCGCGTGTTTAACGTCACGAGCCTGACGGTTCTTATCTAGCTTACCTCCATCAAGGAAACTGTAAGAAGTTTCCTGTCCACAGCACTCCCAATGTATAGCTTCAATCTCTAACCGTTGACAGTAAAACTTCGGTCATAATCCAAAGGACAAATTTCCACCGCTCCATAAGACTTCATATCCTTCACCACAAATGATCCAGACCATCTGAACTTTAACTTTCCTGGGAACAGCTTCAACCTGGAATTGAACAGCAGAACTTGATTGCTCACCTTGAAATCCCTATATGTGATCTTCCTGTCATGCCATAGCTTGGTCTTTTCCTTATATAAGCCTGCACTTTCATATGCAGAAAGACGGAATTCATCCAGTTCATCCAATTGAAGCAGCCTTTTCTCACCTGCTGCTTTTGAATCGAAGTTTAAAAACTTAACAGCGCACAATGCTCTATGTTCCAATCCCACTGGTAAATGACATGCTTTCCCAAATAACAACTGGAATGGAGACATTCCAATAGGAGTCTTGAATGTTGTACGGTATGCCCACAAAGTGTCATCAAGTTTCTTGGACCATTGAGTCCTAGCATTTCCAACAGTCTTTTCCAGTATACGTTTAAGTTCCCAGTTAGAAATCTCAACCTGACCACAAGTCTGTGGGTGGTACGAGGTACTTATCTTATGCCTCACTCCATATTTTGCAAGGACAACGTCTACCCACCGGTTGTCAAAATGTGTTCCCCCATCACTGATTATGGCTCTCAGGACTCCAAATCGCACAAAGATATTCTTTTTCAGAAAGGCGATCACAACCCGAGAGTCAATAGTTTGTGTGGCTATGGCTTCAACCCATTTTGACACATAATCCACTGCCACCAGGATATACTTATTTGAGTAGGAAGAGGGAAAGGGTCCCATGAAATCCATACCCCAAACATCAAAGATTTCCACCTCCAGTATATTGTTCAATGGCATTTCATGTCACCTAGAGATGTTACCAGTCCTTTGACAGTTCTCACAAGCTTCCACATACTTCCTTGCATCCTTGTACAATGTGGGCCAATAGAAACCACTCATCAAAACTTTTGCTGCTGTTCTTTCACCTGCAAAGTGTCCACCATAGGCTGAACCATGACAATGCCATAAGACATTTTTTTGTTCCTCCTCTGGTATACATCATCTGATTACCCCATCTGAACACCTATAGAAGAGGTATGGTTCATCCCAAATGAATCTCCTCACATCATGCAGAAAATTTTTCCTCTGTTGCCAGGTGAAATCCTTAGGCATTGCTCCAGCAGCTTTGTAATTTGCAAAATCGGCAAACCATGGTGGAGTGTTAATTGTCAAGACTTGATCCTTCACCAACTTGGAAACGGTGCTTATGGCCAGTATTTGCTCATCAGGAAACTCTTCTTTAATCACTACATCTGGTCCTTCTTGCATATTTTTCTCTGTGATCCTGGATAAGTGATCAGCCACCAAGTTTTCAACTCCCTTTTTATCCTTAATTTCCACTTCAAACTCTTGCAGAAGTAACATCCATCGGAGTAACCTGGGCTTGTCATCCTTCTTAGTTAACAAATACTTCAAAGCTGCATGGTCAGTGTAAACAATAACCTTTGACCCTAGCAGATATGACCTAAATTTGTCAAATGCATACAAAATAGCCAATAACTCTTTTTTTGTAGTAGCATAATTCTTTTG